TACTGTAATTAAAGATACCAGAAAGAAAATACTGCAATAATAACAATCTCCTACCTCTAGATCTAACCCTTTCAGAAAGATAAACCAAAATAATTTATTAATCGATGTTATTGCGATAGAGAAAATGAACCTCCAATGCAAAGTTTAAAATTCTTTCCTATCATCACGACAAGTCAAGCCACTCGAAAATACTCAAACTGTAGCGGAAGCATGACTAAATCAAATGTAGTTCGAGACAAACATTAAGGTAGATTTCGAGTGCGCATGTCATGAAGGAGAAGATAAAACTTCATGCATCCAACGGATTTGCTAGAATTTAACAAAGGAATGTGTACATGTCAAACATATTTCTATTGTAGATGATAAGGAAGTTGTACCCAGATCTCCCAAAGAAAGAACGATTGAACGGGAATAGTAAATTATCTACCACTCAATTCAAACTATTAAAATTTAGAACGACTCCTGAAGTTAGAAGTCACCCGAGGGGCTCATGCTAGGTTTTGATTCCTAGAGAGGTTATATATAGAGCAACTGTAAGCAGCATATGAGGTCGCATGTGATGACGAGCAGGTTGTGCAACATATAGCACAGGCTTTAAGACCATACCTGTTGTATATTTTTGGCACATCCAATTTTGTAGACAAGAGTGTTACTTAAGTGGTTGTGGTCAACCTACGACACTTTAATGACTTGGAGAAGATCCATGAGTATAAATGAGGGACCAATTGTTTGGTCTACCTGTACTCCAAGTTAGTTGAAGGTTGTATGTGGAAGACCAAACAAATGACATGCATCATCACACTGTTGTCGATAATATATCTACACCTTTTAGTGTTTGTGTCATTTTCATAACACTTTTTCTATGTTATTACTAATTACTCATATGTACCATTTTTAGGCTTGGATCCTCCAACACTTCTCATGTATAACTGGTGAGTCATGTGCTTTGAGCTACATTGAGGATATGCCACATGCCTATACATTCATCCCGCTTAGAGGGAATCAGGCGACGAAGCCATACACAATATATCTTAACCTCTTGGTAGCAGAGGATATACATTTCCATACTTACGTCACTCACTATGAAATGTGTCCCTTTGAAGACGTATCCTTCTATTCAGGATAGTTGGCTTGTAGTTCACGTCTGACATATCTTCATCTATCTAAGAGCATCATACGACAGTTCGCCTACATGCACTTTATTCCTAAAGATCCTTCCGAGTTTGCTCATCCCGCTATAACACATAGAGATATTAATACCATGTTTGATGACTACCTTAATCATATGGTACTAGAGGAGACACAGAGTACCATAGCTCATAGTGCTATAGTGTTACACACGACTACATCTAATGGTATTTCAAAGTGCCACATCCTTATATGACACCAGATGCTTCAAGAGGTCAACCTGAGATAACTCATCATGAGATACTAGAGGAGGAACAAGCTAGAAAGAATTATGTTGTTGATGTGTTGCCTAGATATCATTGTATCATGAAGATTGGGAAGACATGTATAAACATGGGACTCTTTCTGGATGGCTCTGAGGTGAGGGATGTTCTATATGCTATTATAGGGGAGACACTATAATACAATATGCAACATAGAAACAAGGAGGCCCGATTCTGTCATACGCATTAGTATTTAGTGTATGTATTAGGAGCACTATTTTAAGTTCTATTTTATTTTGACTTCATTTTGTACTCCAAATTTATTAATTTATATATGTCATTTTCATCATATTGTTTTTATGGTTTAATTTATATAAAATTGAATATGATGGTATAGTTATAATATATCGTCAATTTCATCAGAGCATTTCTAAAACAAAGTCAAAAATTAATGTCTGACGTGGTTCTAGAGATGCATCTTTGGACTCTTTCTGGTGTGGATACGAAGATGCATCTCCAGATCAATATATGTAATAAAAGGGCATCTTAGAGAGGAATGCATGAGGTGTAAATGGATTGCTTCCAGTGATTGCATCTATGGAATAAATTTTGGAAAACAAATATGGGGCGAGACTTAGTGTGGGCGTGTTTCAGTGAAACTCAAAGTGCGTACGAAGATGCATTTCAGGAATTAACTTGGAATTTTTAAATACTCATAGAGTTTTTTTCCACCATTTATGGTGCAATTAGAAATTCCATATTTAATTTGCACATCATGTGTTTTGTCTTATTTCTTAATAGCGCCACTCTTCAAGAAAAAGGACTCTCCCATATTCTATTTCAAAACTACATCTTATTGAATCAAACCAAGATAGTATAGTGGGGGTACCTGACCTGAAATCACGAACAAGATGGCTGCAATCTCACTTGCAGACGTCGTCACCGTTGTAGTCTCTTTCGGGTTGTTTGACACTTTCTCTGCAAGAATTTCTAACTTGTTGTCGTACCCAAAATTTTGCTCCATACCCCTAATTTTTTCATCTATTCATCTGCATCTCATTTGCATCACTACATAATGACCATTTCATTTGGTCATTGAGTATCTTTAGTATTGCATAAATCAATAACATAGAAAAGTCAACAGTTTGAGTTTTCATCTGATCATTTATATGGTTAGATCATGCATCCAATGTCAAAGCATGAGTGGTCTCATTTTTTCTTTTTTGCATAATTTCATATTTTTCACATTAAGTCCATGTAGGGTTTTAGTTTGAAATCATGAACTCGGTTTCAATACTTTAATGTCATTCATCCATGATTCATACATACATCCATAAGTCATTATTTGAAATTTCTCCATTTCAATTCATACGTGCATTTGGTTTTATTAGGTTGTCCAACAATTTTTTCTATTTAATTCGAGGTTAAGATTGTTCCAAGGAAAGCTCAAATCCAAGTGGTCAAGACATTTCGTAGTCATAGAGGTATGTCAAAGCAAAGCCATTGAGACTCAGAATCCTAGTGATATGAGACGATTTAAAGTGAATGGACAACGACTGAAGCATTATTATGGTGGAGAGGTTCCTGATGAAACATCCTCCCTATTATTGTTTGACCCATGATGTCAAACGTCAAGCTAATGATGAAAAATAATCGTTGGATGGGAGGCAACCCATCAATATTTAATCATTTTTTATTTTGCAGAAGTTACTTTTATTTTATTCAAGACCATCCACAATGGGAATTAGTTACTCAAGAAGAACCTTATAATAAATATCCATATTGTTCTTTATAAGTTTAGTTGCAGCTATTTTTTTCTTTAGATTTACAAGTTCTACCTTTAGCATTGAACGCATGATCCAAGAAAATAACAAAACGAAGTGGCTTGATCATAAAGAAAGCAATTGGCGACTTGAAGGAAAAGGAAGAGAAACAAATCAATAGACTTGTGCTCAACCTTCAGATACCTGATCTAGTAAGATTTGAGCCTAAATATTTCGATTGTTCACTTTTTCTTTCTGAGTGTATCCATGCAATCTTAATGTTTTTTTATTTGAAATACTTTGTTAATATGATTTTGGACACATATGAAATACTGACATTTAGCCTATGTGTTGGACGTAGGGCAACTATTATACTTACACTGGTTGAATAGGGATAGGAAACCCCGAGTAGTGGCATAGAGAATTAACGATCTATATATCGTATAACCCTGCTTACGTTGGATAACTAGGGATAGAAAGCTCTAAGTAATGGTTAGTGAGTTAATTTGTGAGGGGTCAACTTTAACAATTTTATTAATTCTCCGTGGGGTTATAGTGATTAGATCATTTATACAGGGCATCAAACAACAACATTAGAGGAATAGGGAATTCTACAACACAACCTGACCGTTTTCGTGACATTGTTTTATCGTTTAATTATTTTTTGCACTGAAACTTGCAAACCCCCTTCGTTACTGTTTTATTTTAAATTGCACAAATCATTGTCTTATTCAAACACAGTTTTTGTAGATTCGATCTTTTCATTACTACGACATTAACGATACACTTGCCGAAAAGTTATTGGCGGTTAATTCTGCTACTTGCTGACTAGCTTCCACTCCTTGTGATCGATCATCTTCGAGGATTTTCTGCACATTTTCTCGCATGGCTAACAACCCTTCAAATCCACGTTTGAGAATTTCTAATATGGCATCCATTTCACCTCGCGTAGATACCATAAAGTAATCCAAAAAAGAAACTACTCTGATACTAGTTGATAGAACCTGGGTCTGAACAAAAAATAATTTGGGAGAATACAAATACTTTACCAATAATAATTCTGGTAGAGAGTTCAAAGGCCAGAATATTATGCTTACAATAGTTATAGGAAAATAGTATAAAATATTATAACACACATCAAGATTCGAGAGCTTGGTTCTCTCTCCCAAATATCTTGTAGAGTTTTTTTTACTATAGTATCCCATATCTAAAAGTTAAATACCATAATACTCTATTTTGAAAGAAAAAATTCCAACATATCCTCTGCGCAGTACATGTTCGTCCACTAGATTGGCAAGCACAAGAAAGATTTATGCATGAAGGTGCTCGTCCATAAATTAATATCGCTCTTCCGACAGCCAAAAAGGCGGTACTGTGGTTAAGGAAGGATGAGAACAGGCTTTCTCTCGATGCACACAATTATATGAAGCACTAATGCAGTGCTTCCACCACACTTACAAGGATGAGCTAGGATCGAATACACTGGTGTTTCGCGTTTTATTCGGCATCATTTCTACATAACAAATTCAAGAAAACTAGGACATGTAAATAGTTCAGATTATAAAAAATCCATTCCATCACAATACATTGTAATCCAATAATCAGTTGGGATTCTGTTGAGAGTATTTTTCGGGATATAACCATAACTTCATAAGAAATCAATACCATTTTACAGATGTAAAGCAAAAGGAAGAGAAAAATTGGTGGGGGTGGGATTATTACAAGTCATAATGGAGCAAAGACGAGAAACAACGAAAAAATAAAAATTAACATATAAGCACTCAAAGAAGAAAAAAAACCTGAAAAAATTAAAAACCAGGTTAGATACACCGCGGTAATGTAACCTTCAAGAATCATCTTTAGCTGGTGATTCATTATCAGTTGTTTCCTTCGTTGATGCCATTCCTAATGCATGGGAGCTTTTCATTTCTTCTAACTGTTAAGCAGTATAGAACATAGTGAGTTAGTGACTTTATAAACATCAAGATCAGTCAGGAAAACATAAAGGCAACTAACTTAAGAGAATTGTTAATGGCTAACGTCGGCGGACAAAATTAGTAAATCACACCAAGATTATGGTGTCGAGTTTCCATGTTGCAAGTACCTTGTTACAAACTACATAAGTCTCTTTATGGTGTAAAACAGGCTCTTGGACTTGCCATGCGAGTCTCACAACAACTCTGCTTCAGTTGGTTTTTATTAAAAGAAACTATGATCCATAATAAGCAACTACAAACTTAGGAAATAAGACTGCCGCTATGCCCGACCCTTCCTTGCGTCGTTCTATTATTGAGGACTTACAATATGCAACTCTGACTCTGCAACTCGTGCAACAAGGTATGTCAATTTATGTTCAGAACTTTAGATTCCCATTGAAAAGCTATCTCAGAGGATCTGTGGATTATGGCCTTTCATTTTCACCGAATCATCCTAACATTTCCTTCACTCTAAGAGCCTATAGTGATGCGATTAGGCAAGAGATATGGATGATTGTGGCTCAACCTATGGCATTTTCTTTAGGACTAATCTAGTCTCTTGGAGTTCAAAGAAGCAACCCTTAACAGCAAGGTCTAGCACGAGGCCGAATATAGTAACACGGCCAACATCATTGAACAAATCTTATGGAGTCAATCATTTGTAACAAAGTTAAAAGTGACCTATTGTGCATCCATCCTACTTCGAGAAATTCTAAGTGCAGCTACCCTAACTCATAATCCCATATTACATTCTTGGACAAAATATATACACCCTCCGATCAATAGTGTTAGATCAGATACATTAATTATTCAGTAAACCTGAAAAAAATTATTTTTGCTTATAATAGTGACCAGAGTAGTAGATTTGACATTCTCTATTACTCATAATCTCAACCTTCAATCCCCAGGCAAAACATATGGAAATTGACACAATCCGAATCAAGCTTAGGGGGTTTTCTATTATCGAAATTGTCTCTCGATTCTCTAGTTTCTTCATGAACAAGCACAAAACTTATAATAAAAAAGAGAGAAAAAAAACTACCTCTTTGCAGGTGTTGTGGTGTGTAGTGAGAAGATCATTATATCTGATTTGTAGATCAGAGAATTGAGCTTGCAACTTTTCATATTCAGAGATAGAAGGACAACTTAATTTCTGTTGAATGAACCTTCACAGCAAAACAAAAACAACCTAGTCACAATTAATTCTCAAATCAAACAAGAACAGAAAGGGAGGAACAAAACATACTCAAGAGCAGAAGAAGGTTTGTCGTTTTGCTCATACAAAGCAACAAGAACTGCAACACCAAAAATACCAAAAACGCAAACATTGAATAACACTTCCATTAATTCATTGAATGATTGATTCAACAATAAACAGTGGAAACCTACCTTTGGTTAGAGCATCAACAGCTCCACTTGATTCAAGATATTTCCTAAATGATTCCTTCTTAGCTTCTTTTTCCTGAAATGAATTGAATTATTATGATTTGTTTTAGAGAGAGAGAGAGAGAGAGAGAGAGAGAGAGAGAGAGAGAGAGAGAGAGAGAGAGAGAGAGAGAGAGAGAGAGAGAGAGAGAGAGAGAGAGAGAACCTCTTTGTATCGCATCATTGTCTTCTTTGGTTTGTCTTTGGTTGGAGCTTAGTTGGTTGATTGAGAACTCACTGTCTCTGTCTACATCCACTTCTGTTGCTGTTGAGTTTATAATTTTTCTTTGTTAATTCTTGCATTTTTTTTTCTTGGAACTTTTCTTAAGAAAATATATACACATTTTTAGATTCATTTTAGATACAATGACAATTAATTATTAATCTACTTGATATATAAGACTAAGACTAGTATACTTTTAAGTATTTAGAGGAAAAATTAATTGTTTTTAGGTTTTTATTTTTGGGAAATTTACAATTATTTCTCCTAAAACCTATTAAAATAACATTGACATTTTATATATTTAAAAAAAAAAGTATATGTATATTCCAAGAGCACATTTTCTGAGCTATTTCTAAAAATATTTTTTTAATGCGTAAATTTAATTATTTGAAACTACAAATATTAATTTATTCTTCTCAACTTTTCTACTTACTTTAGAATCTTTAACTTGTGGTTGTGGTATGGCTTGACCTTGGGCCCAAAGGTGGAAAAGTCCATTTACAAGAAGGCGCAATTCATATTCGCAAATGTTGGATTGTAGAAGATTAAGTGGTCGCGTGATTGAGAGGATAACACATGATCTTACCCCTTAAATGATTCTCGCCTGTTAGATCAAATCAAAGGGACTTTCACATTTTATGGGGGCAATTTGGGATGATTTTAACCGTCTTCCATATATAAAGCTCTCCACACGACAAACCTCGGATATTCTATTCATTCTCATACTCACCCTACTCTTCATTCAATCACTGATTTGAGTATTGAAGTGCTAATTTTGGAGGTTCACTTCTCTCCACTGCACTAGAAGCACGCTTCACTGCGGTTGACTAATCCCACTTTGTCATAAACTATTTATGGTTCTTGAATGGAATAATGGCGTCATATTGTGGGAATCGACGTCTGATTGTCATGGATTTCCATGTTCATGTTCTTCTGATTCCAAAGTCATGAATCACAACTACGATTTTGCTCGAAAGAAGACGATGATGTTCAATATAGATGCTAGAGTCACCCCAGATTTATCAACTTCAAGATCATTCATGTACATTTTGTGTCTCCGTTTGATAGTGGATCCTTTAGCAAGAAGGAGGAGAGCGAAAAATTTCCTTCACAAAACTCTTTGAGGGTGCCAGTGGTAACTAGTAGGCAAGAAGAAGACAATCATATCTTGTGGTTTCATGACTCCAAGAAAGTGGACATGACTCCTAACACAATGATTCCACTAGTAGTATATGCTAATGTAACGAATCACTCAATGTCAGAGATCCTTATTGACGATGAGAGTTCTTGTGACGTTATGTACATCAGCATCTTCTAGAGGTTAGAGTTACGTGAGCATGATCTTGTGTTATATAAATGAGGGAATATTTTAGCGTTCAACAACTTCTCCACTCAATTATGAGGCGTTACAAAAGAGATAATTGACTAATAATAATGTGTTAATCACTTATCTAGAATAAACTTCACTCATAAAGGATAAATCGAGATAATAATCAACTAGCTACTTGCGTAAAACATTTTTTGGTGATTTTATCCAGGCATACATTTTTCAATTATTTGAACGTGTGTGTGATTAGTCTTAGTAATTTCAAGAGCTAATCTTATACCATTACAAACACACATATCTCGACACAGACAAAGCGAGCTTTCACACTTCTTCTCTTTCACAACTCTAAAGATCCATATTCCTTGCTACATTATCTTTGACTTTAACACTTCAGTATAACTTTTAATCTTCTCTCTAATGAGACTTGAGATAACTTCACGAAGATCGCCATCATCAAAGAGAGTTAGAAAGATATCACCAGGAACTTTGATCGATAAATTAGCAAGTGCACTAATCTGCCAATATAGTAATAATGGGAAATCCCAAGTATTGATCTCAAGGACTACTTGACGACACAAAGTTCGTGTTTTAATTCAGTTAAACAAAAGACTTGGGTGTTTTAAATCAGTGTTTTTGGTAAAGAAAAATAAATTGACAAATAAAAGTAAGCAGAGCAATTGAGCAAATGAAAATAATAAGAGTATAAATACTAGGGAAGGTGTATGATAGGACTCATTAACAATTCTACCCTAACCTTGCAGCAACTTATTTTATAATATTGATTACCGGTTCTTAAGGGTGTTTACTCCTAACTCCTTAATGAGTAAACCTTTAAACAATAAAATTAACTGATATGTCCATAGTGAATTATAGATGAGTTTAAGCATTACTTGATCAAGAACAATCTGACTTCTATAAGGTATCTCTAGTCCTAGGTGATATTTATTTAAGAATACTCTCAATTGAGCGCTAACACTGGCGGTCCAGCCTAAATATTAACCGTAAATCAAGCTCAATTTTTTTTTTAAAGAGAATGAATTAAGAGTAAATCAAATATCATAGAAATTATCGTTATTAAAAGGTTCAAATGACAATCATCATAAATACAAATTAGGGGCACCCCCTAGCATTGGGGGGTTTAGCTACTCATAATAATAAAGAAAAACATCATACAAAGTGTAGACATTACAGATTTATAGATGAAATAAGTCTTCAATCACGTAAAACTCATGCAAATTTTGATCCACCCTAAAAATCTGAGTTTTCCCGCCTTCTAAACATGTCTTTGCCATCAAAAATCATCCAACCCCTAAAAGAATCAATTTCTAGCTTTAAATACTCAAAACTGGTTTTTATTTTTGCAATTTTGAGCGTCCATACGCGTGTGAGGGCGTATGGGGTGTATGATACGTGAATGGCATAGGGTGAGGCATATGATACGCGTATGGCATATGACAAGGCATATGATACACGTATGGGCAGAAATCCCCATTTTTCAGATCCGATACGCGTATAGAACAACTGATATGCATATGAGAATTCTGAATTAGCCTTTGGTGTCTTCATGGAAGTTGTAGCCCTTGATGTTAGCTTTCATTTTTTGTCTGTCCCATGTCATTCTGAGTTACGAAACTCTAAGATTTTAGAGCTTGATAACGTCAGGGGCTTCTCTTATCAGAGTCATAAACCTAAGCTTTCTGGATTAGCGATGATCAGAAGAGTTGAGAATAGTAATCCAGAGTTTGATTATGTTTATAGAGCACACATCATTTTACTTCTTAGAGGTAGAGTGCACTAGGTTTAAAGTCTGATGACATCACACATCACTTTCATAGAGTCACAACTTGTTTCTAGTAGCTGCACACTTAACAAAACTATTAGGGTACAAAATTGTTCTTTATGAACCTGTGTATTGTTATCATGAAAACTTAAGGCCAAATGTAGAACTAAATCTTGTTTTTATTGATAAGGACAAAACCTTGTATTTTAATGAACAAGTTTTACTTGGTTTAATCACATAAAACTTATCAGAGTAAATAGTAAGCTCCCTCTGAGTTTTATACTATAATAATTTTCTCAGCTTATTCAAAATGAAGTTTGTAGATTCCCACTGAGTTTAAGACTTATGAAAAATTTTAATACATGAAACATTTTAATCAACATGAAGGCGAGAACTTCCATGTATGAGATTCTGGTTAAAATTTCTTGATTTCTTGTATCAGAATATGGCTTGTACCAGAGCTTGATGAATCATAAAAGCTTGGTTCAATATTAAGAGATATGACTTTCTGATTCCTGGTTCATAAAATTATGGATAGCCTTGACTAGTAGCATTAGTGAACTTTCTTTCAAAATTCCTTGATCATTCAAATTTTTCAGAGTCAGATGTTTAAGATTAGAGAGGAATATAAGTATATCAAAATAATATCTATGTTTCTCCCCCTTTGTCATCGACTAAAAAAATAGAAAAGGAAGAAAAACAAAACTTTATTTAATTGAAATAGATAAAGAGACATAAGCACAAAAAGAAAAGCTAGGTTTTCTTAAAAACTTAAACAGAAAAATAAATAAAAAAGGTTTTACGTAGGGGTGCAAGCCTTGATAGAATCACTTGAAGCAGACCTTCAATCTTAGTGTTGGTCTGAGCTTGTTCCTTAAACCTACCATCTTGATTTTCTAAACAAGATCTAATAGATATATTTCCTACTTGAGGTCCTTTAGAGTTTTCAAAACAACCAGAGGTATAGATTCAGATTCAGAAGGATTATCAGTTCCAGAAGTAGTTTCAATCTCAGATTGAGAAAAGACTTGTTGTTCAGGAGGAGGAGGAGTAACTTCATATTGAATCTCTTTTTCAGTCTAAACCTCTTTTTTAGAAACAACCAGGGTCAGATCATCTTCTGGTGCAGTTTGGTTTGAACTACTCCAGAAGAAGCTACATGATACCATAAAGTTTTTCATGGGATTTTTTCTGATCAGATTTAAAACAAATATCCCTCAGCTTTCAGGAACAAGAATTGACCCATCTTCTAAAGTCAGTCTAAATAACATCACTCTCAACAAGGTTGGCACAATTTGTGCAAGCTTGCATAAGAGAGCATAAACAATCATTTGCTTCAGCTTCAAATTGTAACACTAATTCATCAACGCTTGGTTTAGGTTCAAGTAGGGTGTTAAGGTTCACTTGGGTTCTGAGGAAGTTTGGGATAGGTGCAACTTCATCCTCAGAGTCAGATGAGACTGAAATAGTTTCATCTAAGGAATCAGTAGTGAAGGGGGAATGGTTTAAGATATGGTCCATTGGAGTGTTAATGATAGGTGTATTTATGACATTTGGTTGAGTAGGTGGTGAAGGGGTTGAATATGGAAATGAACAAATTTCAGGAATGACAATGCGAGAGGATGTATGGATAGGATGAGGAGGTTAAGAGGGGGGGTTTTCAGGCCGTGTTTGTTGAAGTTGTGAAAGGAATGGTTAGGAATTTGTGGTCGCATAGGTTCAATGAGGATGGTTTCAGATGGTTATGGATTAGATGGTTCAAGTTCAGATGGTTTAATAAAAGAAGGTATTTGTAGAGTAGGTCGAAAGGGGGTTGAAGAAGATTAAGTGTTAACAACTTGATCAAAATGCAAA